TTCTTTCCTGACGGGAGGGCTTTGCCGCGGCTCGTTGTTGCCGTGGTGGTTGTTCGGGTATAGTACCCTGATTTGTAGGCTGAAGACATCTTCAGCCCGTCAATTATCTCGTCTACATGAGATATTGCTTTTAACATCTCCTCGTTTGAGGAGAAGTCTGCTCTGATTCTATCATGAGCAATCATTTCCCTCTTCCATTCGAGGGGAATGTAGTTTAAGAACCTGGCGTTAAAGGACGCCTGGTCTGGCGGCGTCACCATTTGGGACGCTGCTTTTGACAGTTCTAAGTAGAACTGTTTTAGGCCTTTTTCCGCTTCGTATTTGACGTTGCGGTATTTCTTTGTCGCGTTCAACGCGGCGGAGGCTTTGATGAAGGTTCTCATCAATATGTTGAGAACCTCGAGGAACATGCCCTCGTCTCCTCTGAGGAGAGTTTCGTCTCGGAGTCTGATTCCGAGGTCAAACGCGGGTCCCCCTAATCCACGAATCAAGCAGTCCAGGTGGACTTCGTCGAATTGGGGACCTTTGCATCCTCACGAGGTGAGGAATCCCAGTAGTTCTGTGAACCACTGCCAGAACGATTCCATGTCGTTCTCCCCTGACCATTTCTTGTCAGGGAATGCCGGCCCATTCTTTAGGGCTTCTGGCTTCACTCCTTCTGGGTAGGGAGTGAGTATTCTCACTTCGGCCATTCTTATGGCCTTTTCGTACCATTTCTCCAGGTACTCTTCTTGCTCCCCTGCCTTCGCGGGGTCGCTGTCCAATGGAGATCTCTCCTTTGGGGGGGTTTTTGCTGGGGGAATCTTTCTCGCAGCATTTCTTTGGTTTCAGGCGAATTCGCCTGAAGTTGTATTTGTATTCTCTCATTGTTTTGAGAGGGTATGAATGCGTTACCTCTCTGTTCGAGAGGTCCGTCATAATTGGATGTTTGGCCGAACCTTTGGTACGTGCCAATTCTCCTTCTGATCTCTGAACGATGTCTTCTCTCGGCATCGTCTTCTCCTATCCTTGGGAGAAGGATCTCCTTAGCGTCTCTGTCAAGTCGCTGGTGATATTCCAGTGTGCTTTCACTGGTGGTTCTTTTCGTGAATTTTTCACAAGTTCTATTTATGTCCTGGACCGTGGTCCAGGGGTGTTTATTTGTTTCCTCACTTTTTTGTGAGGAGTTTATTTCCTTCAGCAAATCTGTTTGTTCGCTGATTTTTTCTGTCAACGCGTCGATTGCGTTGGCCATTCTTTCTAGAGTTATCTCTAGACGAGCCGTGCTATTATGGTTCGTTTCCTCGATCTTTTTCTGGATCGAGTTTATCGCGTTTATTATGCGCGATTCCTGGTTTTCCAGGAGGAAGTTTGGTTGGGCGAGCAGTGACTCTCCCCAGTTGACATTTCCACTTCTGGGAGTTCCAGAATGGGTTCTTGGAGTGAACACTCCACGCTCGCTTTGTTTTGGCGAGGCCGTTGCGGAGGGTGCTTCCCTTTCATAGAGGGGTCTGTTCGCTGGTTTCTCCTTATTTTTACGTAAGGCTTCCTCGGCGAACTCCCTCATTTCAGTTCGCCTCCTCCTCATTATCTCGGAGACCTCCTCCGAAGTTGGCGACCTTGCCTTGTCTGGCATGGTGCGTGGGGGTGTAAACAGCAGAGGCTCTTTTGGAGCTTCCGCGCTCTGAGAGATCCTGCTCTCAGGGCGTATTTTCGCGCCTTCTCGGGCTTTCAGCCTGAGAAGAAGTTGATCTTCACTTTCCGTCCTCCATTCGGACGGAACCTGGAACAAGTCCAGTAGTTTTTCGGATAGCCGACGCGGGGTTTCTTCCCTTTGTTTCCCTTTGTCTGCCTTTAGGGCTTGACTTGGGGACGTGATTGGGAACTCTAGGGGATAGTGGGGCCCTGGGGTTTCCTGCGGCTCTATCCGATCAGCTTTTTGGGCTGATCGTTCGGCGCTTACGCGTTTTTCGCGCAAGTCGATTACCTCGTGAGGAGATAAGGGATCTTCCCCAGCTTGGGTTAGATCGGTTTGTTGTGGAGTTCTGGGGGTATTTTGCCCCGCACTTACTCCACGTAAGTTTCTAAAGTCTTCAGGGACCAGCCCTGAAGTGGTTGCTTTTCCCGGATCGCGTTGATCCTCGTCGTCATCTGACGACGGCTTTTGGTTTGAATCTCCCATGATGGGAGATTGCGGTTTCTTAATAAACCGCTCGCTTCTTTTTAACGTCGCTGCAGATGCGACCTTGCCCTTGCGGGCGTGTTTAGGCGCCATAAGCGCTTCCGAATCAGATGTTGAGATTTTATAGTTGTGGGTTGTGTTGTAAAACACACCTCTTGCACTTAAAAAAGTGTGAGGTCTTTGGGGTTGCTCAGCACACAAAGCCGTAAGTGATACAAGATGATGTATTTTACGGTGGTGTGTAAGCGGTTACCCGGAGGTTCCCGCTTGTCCACGTGACTATATCTATCTAGTTTACATGTGACTCGGGGTTCGGGGCTATTGCCCTGACACCCAACCTCTGCTCCGGGCTCCTGGAACTCCGAACCTGACTTCCGGAGCCCTACTTCCCTTCCGTCACCTTCTCCTTGGCGACTCCCAAGAGGTTATCCCACCTCCGGCTCCAACACCACCTTTGGTCCGACTCCGGAACATTCCGGGTCCGACCCCAACCTCGACACCTTCCAGACGAGTATGCAACACCTATGCTCCCGACTCCGGACCTCTGCTCCGGAATCCCGTTTGCATCTCTGTCTCCGGAACCTCCGGTCTTAGCTCCGACCTCGGACTTTGACCCCACCTCCGCTTATACCCATTGTATTGGTTAGCTCATTTCATTTAATTACGTTTGCCAATATTCCGGAGTTTAACTTCCGAGTTCGGACTTTCCGGACTTACTCCGGACCTTGCAACTATTGCATTGTCCATTTCAATTCCGCTATTCTCCCTCATTCCTATTTGGGCTGCTGCTTCCTTCTATTCAGTCAGCTAGCCATTCCCGACTCCCATCCTCCTTCCTTCCTCCTTGGGCCTTGGCCCTTCATTCCTCCTTTGGGAAACACCATTGAGTCAAACACTTGACCCTCGGTGTTGTTCCTCTCTCCATCTCCCTTTGTCTCCTTTTGTCCTATCCTTGTTCCTTTTGATTCCGGACCCCTCCTTATATACAATGTACCTAGTAACTTGTAACCTCAGTCCGAAATCAACTGGAATTCCCCCCAAGAGACTTTCCCTCTGCTAGATCCGAAATTAGGGACCCCTAGGACAACCAGCAATGGCACAGCACTCCGCCTGAGTCGCTGAGGCCGAGGTCCTTCCACACTAAGTCTCCGATTCCACTCCGGAGTCGTCCAAATCCACTAGTTCTAACATATGATCAGGATGTCTAAACAATGGAAAATAAGAATGAAAGAGATCGGGCAGCATTCATACCCCAAAATTATTCAAAGTGTTCCCCAAGCTATCAAGGTTGGCATTTTGGAGGTAAGCTGGGTTCGGAGTTGTGGAATCTGTTGAAGTCCTAGCCAGCTTGCAGCATCACGGAGTCAAGATATGTGTGGGGAGGTGAAAGGGGGAATGAAAGGTGAGCACTGGAAGGGCCTGGACAGTGCTGACTGGACATTCCGGAACGGGTACTTGGTTGGCGAGGGGGGGGGGAGTTTCGTTCTTGAGGTATTGGAGCTCATAATTGGAGAGACTGCAAAATGGAAATGTAAAAGAGTTTGACGAGCTTAGGCACCACAATTCCGTCGGACACAACGCCTGAAGACGATAACAGCAAACATGATGAGGTTGGTTGATCGCCATGCTGTCCTTGCAACAAAGAAAAGCACAGACATTTTGACAATGCAGATGACCTAGCCTGTTAAAAAAGGAAAACACGACAACAAGATGATGAGCTTGAGCACTAACAGCAATGCAATGAAGTCGATTACCACACTGACCTTACAAGCAAGGAAAGCGCGAAAAGTGCAGTCGTTTCAAACATGTATATCCAACCCCTAAGATGGAGATGATAAAGGTAAAAGCTAAAAAAGGTCCCGACACCAAGGACGAAGCAGGAAAGAGTAATTAAAAGGCACACACCTGAATAGAGATACAATAACGGCAAACGGGATAAAATTGGCTACTGCACTATACTTGCAGTCAAGATGTTCCAACCAACAAGGTACAGACGCTCCAACCATGCGTTTTCCAACCTTTTAAGTTGCAGAGAATAAGAGTGAAAGCGACGAGGTATGGTACGATAATGACAAACAGGGGAAAATGGTCACTGCGTTGTACTTGTAATCAAGAAGAACACAGACATTCCAATCGCACGTTTCCAACCTTTAAAGTGTAGAATGTGACGAGGTACAGTATGATAATGGCAAGCGGAGGAAATTGGCCACTGCGTTGTACTTGTAATCAAGAAGAACACAGACACTCCAATCGCATGTTTCCAACTGTTAAGGTGTAGAATGAGAGTGAAGGCGATGAGGTATGCTACAATAATGGCAAACAGGGGAAATTGGTCGCTGTGTTGTACTTGTAATCAAGAAAAACACAGACACTCCAATCACATGTTTCCAGCCTTTAAGGTGCAGAGGATAAGAGTGAACATGATGAGGTATGCTACGATAAAGGCAAACGAGGGAAATTGGTTGCTGCGTTGTACTTGTAATCAAGAAAAACACAGACACTCCAATCGCACATCTCCAACCTTTAAGGTAGAAAAAATAATGAGGTGCAGGTGCTATGCAGGGGCAGACGTGATGGGATTGGTTGCTGTACTATCCTTGGGTCTCCAACAAGAAGAGTACAAACATTCCAATTGCACGTCTCAGAGAGATATGAGCATTGGCCAGCTGCAAGTATGTGGGTGGAGAGGAAACTGGATATACCTGCAACAATTGTACAGTTTATTATTATCGGATACACACGCAACAATGGCATTGCCTAAGTAGTTCAAGTATAGTTAATTATTGATAAAATTAAAAGAAAAATTAGTCCATGATGCAAATGGTACAAAAGGATCACATCAGATAAGATGTGTCCATGGTTCGGCAAGATGTTTCATGTAGCGAGGCTGATCAAGATCCGGTTCAAGCACGATTTGCAAGTTGCTACCCTTAGGGTGGTATTGAAGCATCTCGGCACTCGAGCGGGTGATAGATGGTGTTTCGCCATTCCTCATCATCTCATCACGAGCCCAACGTGCAACATGGTGAATCACAAAACCCATAGGGCCTGACGTTGGCCACATAGGCACCGAGAATTTCGACAAGCCCTGAGGCTGGAGAGAATGGGCACTAACAAGAACCTCAAAACAATGGAGTTCAATGTCAAAAGGTTCTTGATGTACCCTAGACTGCAGCCAAGTGGCCGTAAACATGATGCCCTCCATAGGATGAATGTGATCGCTTTGATTGGGGGGAGGGTGCTGTTGTGGTGAGCAGGGAACGAGGGGAGGATATTTCTTGTACTGGAGGAATGAGTGAAGGTGATTGATTTTCTTCGGAGGTGCAATGTCCATGAGAGCCATGATATCAACATGATCACATGTAAATGCCACATCTACATACAGCAAATCTAACGTGAAGTGGTGATTGTTGAGCGAGCCAACATAGATGTTGGAGGAACAGGATTTCCCCTCTGAACGCAACTTCTTGGCCATTTTATCACGATTATCCACGCACTTGAAGAGCAACTCCATAGATGGTGGCTCATGCCACCCACCCTTCCTTGAATGATGCATTGCATAAACCCCTTGGGCATGGCACTTTTCCAACCATGCTGGCTCTGCGTCCTGTACATCAACTATGGTGAGGCAATACCAGTGGCCAAGAGGAACCACGGCCGATGACACAGATTGTGAGGGGGCGGCCACGCCACCACAGTTGCTCAGTGGCATGGCACGACACCCAGGAGCAGTCATAGGAAGACACTCCGGCTCCATCACCGCGGTGTCGACATATTGAACAAAGCCGCTGCCTGATGCCTCCTGACAATTTAGGCTCAAGGATGGCGACAAAGCTACAGCAGGGGTAGGACCGTGGCCCATTGGCAATGCAGCAGGTTGTTGAGTGGGTGATGCAAGGATTGGCAAAGGTGGGGTGTCGGGGTGTTGGGGACTGCCTCCACTCAGCAGCACTGATGCCTCCGGCCTTTCATCGTTTGGCCTCGAGAATTGTTATGGATATAGACTAGAATCTTATGGTCTGTGGGTGGACCCAGGGCCTCCCCCCATTTTACTTCTCCATCAAACCCCATGCCAAGCTTTCCCACTGGGTTTTGGTGCTGGCTGGGGGATTTGTTGAGTTTCAAGGGACTTCCCTTGACCATTATAACTTTTATATTAGATAGTTAGAAGTCATATGATGTGTAAGGCAGATGCCGAAAATGTTTTCTCATTATCAAATACATAACCCACAAACCTTGTACCGCAATTGTAACATCCTCACCATTGTGCCACCACTGTAAACTCAACCTGTAACCTCGGAACCATGTCCACCTCCCTATTCATCCTCTCCATGACAAAACCGCAACGAGGAGGGCATTCCCACACCCAACCTCCTGCTGCCTGCTCCCACCAGTCCACCAGGTGGTTGAGCAGTCACTCCCATCCAACCAGAAGTTCCCTATCAGGAACTGTAGCCTATCCCACTTCCTTAGGAGAGGGATATGGTCCAGGGAGCTCCAGGATGCCTGGCCACGCACCCGCGGGTCCCACTTCCCACGGTCACCCACTACCGTGCACTGGTCCACCAGCCCGCTTTCCCCAACAACTCCCGCTACCGGTATGCTCCCATGAGCGCCAAGTCACCGATAGCCACCAACTGGGTGACTGTCATATCCATACAATCCCGACCTCCGCTCCGGGCTCCCCGAACTCCGAACTCCGACTTCCGGAGCCCTACTTCCCTTCCGTCACCTTCTCCTTGCCGACTCCCAAGAGGTTATCCCACCTCCGGCTCGGACACCACCTTCGGTCCGACTCCGGAACATTCCGGGTCCAACCCCAACCTTGACACCTTCCAGACGAGTACACAAAACCTATGCTCCCGACTCCGGACCTCCGCTCCGGTACCCCGTTCACGTCTCGTCTCCGGAACCTCCGGTCTTAGCTCCGACCTCGGACTTTGACCCCACCTCCGCTTATACCCATTGTATTGGTTAGCTCATTCCATTTAATTACCTTTGCCAATATTCCGGAGTTTAACCTCCGAGTTCGGACTTTCCGGACTTACTCCGGACCTTGCAACTATTGCATTGTCCATTTCAATTCCGCTATTCTCCCTCATTCCTATTTGGGCTGCTGCTTCCTTCTATTCAGTCAGCTAGCCATTCCCGACTACCATCCTCCTTCCTTCCTCCTTGGGCCTTGGCCCTTCATTCCTCCTTTGGGAAACACCATTGAGTCAAACACTTGACCCTCGGTGTTGCTCCTCTTTCCATCTCCCTTTGTCTCCTTTCGTCTTACCCTTGTTCCTTTTGATTCCGGACCCCTCCTTATATACAATGTACCTAGTAACTTGTAACCTCAGTCCGAAATCGACCTGAAATGCCCCCAAGAGACTTCCTGCTCACCTACTGTGAAATTAAGGACCAAATGGACAAACAGCAATGGCACAGCGCTCCGCTTGAGTCGCTGAGGCCAAGGTCCCTCCACGCTAAGTCTCCGATTCCACTCCGGAGTCGTCCGTTTCCGCCCATCTCTAACAGTGACTCCCTTTGGGAGTCCCAGTATCCCATGCTACCGGTACGCTCCATTGAGTGCCAAGTCACCGCTAGCCAACCACTCCCAGCACACCCGCTACCAGCACGCTCCCAGGAGCCCCAAGTCCCCGTTAGCAGACAGCCAGGTGGCTCCCTCAAGGAGCCCACATCATACTCGCTACCGGTACACTCCCAGGAGCACCAAGTTACCGTTGGCCAACCCACAGGTTGTACTTCCAGACACTCATCCCATTCCGCTCTCCCTCCGATGGCTATGCAGCCACCTCCATTAGTGAGCCGAACGGTTCAGGTTGGGTTCCCCGGAACCCATTCCTGTAACAAATGGTAGAGGAACGACAGGTGCATTGCAGTCTGGCAATGCAACATTTCCTGTCTTGCGAAGCGACAAAGAGGAATCAGGCAAAGAACGACCCAAGGGTGGGGAGTGAGTCGTAGGTGCGAGAGAGGATTTCTGTGCCTCATGGCACTTCTTGTACTCCTGGAACGAGATTTTTGGTCTCTCGGCACTCATTACTGTGGAAGATGGGGGAGAATTAACATGGGACGTGGCCCCCTCCCCTAGAGTCTTGATACCCACGGCACTGAGAGAAGAACGATTGGGGAGAGGAGACATAAGGAGGGAATGGGATGGAGTTGTGAGGGGGACCATTGGTGCTGAAGATGGGGGAGGATTAACATGGCTCGTGGCCCCTAAGGAACGTGAAGTCTCAATACTCACGGCACCAGGAGAGGAACAATCAGGGAGAGGAAATGACCTGGATGCAAGGGGGGAATGGGATGGAGGAGTTGTGATGGGGACACCAGCAGTGAGTACATGATGGCTTGAAGCAATGGGATCAGTTGTATCGATGTCCATCGCGTCAGGATCACTCTGCAATCTTAGCCTCTTCAAGGGCATCTGGCAGATTGCCGATCAGGCCTGTACTTGTGCCAATTACTGACAATGTGGTAGTCATGGGTGGACAGTTGCCTCTTCTTTTTCCCATGTCCCTGTTCTCAGATCTCTTGACATCTGGCAGTGGCATGTGAGTCACCATCCCACACATCTTGCAAGAGCTGACCAGTGGCATGCATGCTCTGTCGGTCACTGGAAAATTTTCGAGCTGCTGATCCAACCCTTTCATCATACTTGGATGAGTCCTCGTCATTTTCTTGATGGGGAGGCTCAAAGTGAGGACGGAATTCATCATCACTAGAGCACCCGGCTCCATCATGCCAGGTGGTAGACACTACTCTATGGCCAAGTACCGAAGATGATGGACAGGGTGAAAGACAGGCCGGAGGCACAACAGGAAAGAGGCCATGGCCAAAAAAAGACTTGATTTTCCGACACAGTTCCTCCTCTGTGTAGAGCGGGTTGTGTGGAGGATAGAGCACATCTGCGAGGGCCAATTCCACTGGAGTTGAGAGGTCAGGTGAACCTGGATAGCCATGGGCTGGCTTGATGATCCAGGGTGTTGGGCGAACTTGAGCTGCTTGAAAACAATGTCCCTCGACTGCTTAGATGGAAGCGATGCGGACTGAACTGCCATCTTATGACTGTTAACATCCGAATCCGACCAGCTGCCTGGCACAAAATCTCGCTGAAGACTGGCCCCACTCCCAACAACTTGAACCCCAAAGACAGGAATGCCGTGACGGGATAGCCTTGCCATTGTTGAACCCAGCAATGGGCAGTCATCCGGGAAAGGGAGCTCAAACACAGCACCCACCAGCTCATCGTCCATGCCCAAAAAATAATTACCATCATGACCACGAAGAAGCCGCTCGATGTGACAATGACAGTACCATCGACCAACACCACCCAATTCGTAAGCGAACGTAAATACTTGATCCACAGTGTCGATCAGATCCTCACCCTTGCTCCTTTTGATTCCGGACCCCTCCTTATATACAATGTACATAGTAACTTGTAACCTCAGTCCGAAATTGACTTGAATTCCCCCCAAGAGACTTCCCCTCTGCTAGATCTGAAATTAGGGACCCCTAGGACAACCAGCAATGGCACAGTGCTCCACATGAGTTGCTGAGGCCAAGGTCCTTCCATGCTAAGTCTCCGATTCCACTCCGGAGTTGTCCGAATCTGCCTGTTCTAACAGAATCAGGAAGAGGGGGGTCGAGGGAAGTGCGATGAATGAATGGATGATATGTGTTAGAACAGGCGGATACAGACGACTCCGGAGTGGAATCGGAGACTTAGCGTGGAGGGACCTTGGCCTCAGCGACTCAAGCGGAGCGCTGTGCCATTGCTGTTTGTCCATTTGGTCCTTAATTTCACAGTAGGCGAGCAGGAAGTCTCTAGGGGGCATTTCAGGTCGATTTCGGACTGAGCCCAAAACGAGTATGTACAAGCACCGATATATATAATGGAGGGGGCAAAAGCACAAGGAGACAAAGGGTAGACAGAAGCGGAGCGGTACTGAAGGTCATAAGGCAGGACCTGTGATACGTCCGAAAGGAGGTAGGGAGGGCGAGGCCCAGAGGGGCAGGAGGATGAGGAGAAGTGGGGATGATGACTAACTGGCTAGAATGGGAAGAAGCAGCAGTCCAAATAGGGATGAGGGGAAAACCCGAAAGATACATTACAAGCGGCGAAAGTGCCGAAGGCAATCTGCGAAGCTCGGAGGTTGCGGAGCTTACGGAGGTTATGGAGGCGGGGTTGAAAGTCCGAGGAATATTGGCAATGGTGTTTACGTAGTATGAGGTCACCAATGCAATGGACTAAGACCGAGGTGGAGTCAAAGTCCGAGGTAGGGACTATGACGGAAGCTCAGAGCAAAGGTACGAGCGGTGCCCGAGTACGAAGTACGGGACAGTGGTGGAAGGTCATAACTTGGCGGGAGGTCGGCAGAAGAGTACCAGAGGGAGGAGAGAGGAGAAAGGGAAGAGAGAAGGAGTGGCGGAAAGGAGAGTTGTCAGGTCCGAAGGTGAGTATCGGAGCGGACAGGGGAAGCGTAGGAGGGTGACGGAAGGGTGGGGGTGTTGTGAGGGAGGAGCGGAGGAGTAGGAGGAGGAGTAGTAGGAGGGTGGCGAGAGGGGTGGTGTTCGGTCCGAGGTGAGTATTGGAACGGACAGAGATAGGGGAGGAGAGGGAAGGAAGGAGTAGAGGTGGCATGGGAGGTAGAAAGAGGTGTGTTGCCAGGACCGAAGGTGAGTATCGGAATGGCAGCGGTAGGGTATGACTCCAGAGGTGAAGAGGGTGGAGGTCCGGAAGTCGGGTCGGGGTCGGGTATGCACGGATATGACAATATGGTGCATTTTGTGAGAACGTGAGAGGCATGTGCGAGATTGATGATGAGTAGAGGGAGGGAATGGGTGAAGTTCTTGGGTATTGGGGAGCATTGTGTAATTTTCTACGTTTGGCAGGGGTAAGGAGGTGATAAGGGGTAAAGGAGTAAACAGGTTCCCTGATGGGATTTCCAAGAAAATTGAAGCTTCTCAGAGTGTTTGCATAATGCAGTATCCATGAGTGGATGACAAAGTCCTTGGGAGGTTTTGCTACCTGGATCCCTAATAATCATGAGAAACAAATTGCGCCAGCAGGGTCGAAGAAACATACCTGCATGCATGTGAGCCATCCACTCTTGCACAGTCCGACACAGGGCGCTGGAAGGTCCCGCATGGTTATATGGTATGAAGGTCCCAGACATGGTCCAGGTTAGTGGAGTGTCAAGCCCCTACAGTAATTCAGTCGACATTCGACAGCACTGATCTTTGATCCTTGTTCATACTGTTTCCGCCAGTGCATTGGGGCCTACCAAGCATCCAGCTGGAGCAGCAGGCTCTGCGGTTTGCAAGAATGCTGCATCACGAGCCGAACCCAGGGTTGACACTGCATTTCGTGACATCGGGACGATTTATGGTAGAATTAGCCGAGCTTGCAAGGTGTTTGGGGGTTTGTATTTTTTTTCGTGGGAAAAGCATGTCATGGAAATGTGGCTTCACCACCCCGTGGGACTTCATCAGACCCAAAATGCTTGGCCATTCAGTTTGACATGGCCAGGGTATTGGAATTTGCCCAAGACATGTTGTGAGGAACATAGGAGGTAATTGAGGAAGAGGGGATAGTAGTTCGGAACAACACCATTTGATAGATTCGCTTTCCAGAAGGAGAGCCCCACACCATGTACACGGATTCTGTTGCCAATCAAATCGATCGGGAAAAGGCGATAGGAGGGCCAAAGTTGATCATCCGATATTGTAGCACTTGGTTGCACACAAAGGGTTTAACAGTGGGTTGTTGTGGATGGGTTGTACCTACTTAACATTGACTCTGAGAACGGTGAAGCCTAGAGTGGATGGCTTCTGGATGGAGGGACATGGCCGATTGCAGATGTGAGTGGCAAGAGATTAGAACATCGTCATCATTTTCAATGGGATTGATCCAAGTGAGGGAGTTTACCCAAGCGACGAAGAGGAGTTGAACGACACATGTGAAAACACAGTGCCGATGGTTGCAATGCATAGCACATTCAGTATCTCCGTAATAGCAGCAAGTCACTAGAACTTCCCCACTTTCCAGACACACTGTATGCATGCCAAAAAAAATGAAGGCCGTACAAAGTAAATGTGATCGTAATCAGGGAGAAATGATTGGGCGATGCCATGGATGGCCAAGTCGCTCATGTCTCACATCAGTGGAGTGAGCAGGCATGAGGCGCTGTCCGCGGCTCTCAGTTGGAGATGTGGCGTTCTGGAGATGGCGAGGCACAGCGACTGGGTGGCATCACGGACACATTAATGTGAGGTGGTGAGAGTACTGAGAATCATCAGGGAATGGGAATCATGACGAATCAAACAATCTACATGTGAATGTCAGGTGATGAGAGACAAATCAGACGATTTAATTGACAATCCAAAGTGTTCCATGACCGCGACGATTATAGATTGTCTACACAAAATAAATACAAGCTAAATGTGAAAAATATTGTACGGTTTCATTGAAAGATGAAGTTCATTGGTGACTTTGGGAGGACGAAATACATGGATGGCATCATTATGCGATAGTTGAGATATAATCCCACATTCCGCCCATGCACTCAAATCTTCCAGCTCCACCAAAGGTGGGTTTGTAGCATCGTGGGAGGCATTGGGCTGGGTGGGTGGAATGTTCAAAAATGAGATCAACTGAGAGGGTAAAGCTTGTGCATTGATATCTTTCATCGTGTCCACATACTTAATGTGGCCCTCTTGAATCGTGAATTTAGTATAAACACGAAATAGATCGATGTAGCCTAGTCACAATGTGAGCAAAAATGAAGATGCGATCATGTTAATACTGCACAATGCATACCTGCTAGCTCTAGAGCGCTCTGGCTTCCATGCTCACAGACAGAGACTGTCCAACCTGCCTTATCGCCAAGATTTCCCTCCAGAAATCGACACTGAAACACTCCAAGTAGTTGGTCCTGCCACCGACAATCCAATGGCACAATGATTTCACAGACCATCAAATCTTGTGCCTAAAAAAAAATTGGAAATCATGGAAAAATATAACCTTGAAGTCAATTGCATGCATACCTGAGGGAAAAACCAAGCGCCTTTCAAACTGATTTGGCACTGGGCCACCCAAGCGTCGAGGAGCAATAGAGGCAAAGGCACATCATCACCCGGTAGAGAGACCCATGGGGCCATAACACTCAAGGATAAATGTTTGGTGGCAGGAGCCAGGGTGCTAGACTTCTTTTTGAAGTGTGGGAGGGACCTCCCAGTCGAAAACATGGTGATTGTTCAAGTGTGGGAACATTCTGGGCAAGCAACTCACCCAGAAACTATCACTGCCACAGGCATGGGAACATTCTGGGCAAGCAACTCACCCAGAAACTATCACAGCCACAAGTGTGGGAACATTCTGGGCCAGCAACTCGCCCAGAATATTTTCACGGTCACGGGGCCTTGCCACTGTGATCTGATCTTGCTCGTGTTCCACCATAGTTCTGTGGCCCGCTTACCTTCTCTCTCTCATACCTGCTTGGCCTTAATGCTCTGTTCTTCTGACTCTTTATTGAGCTCGGTTAGAAGTTTGACACGATAAGTAAGCAAGTGAACGTCGTATATTGCAAGGCACTTACACTTATCATCCACAACTGACAAGAAATCTTGTGGCTAGTTTGGCGACTTGCTATCGTAGCTCATGAAAGAGATCTGGTTTTCCAGGTAGGTTGCCAGTGCGGATTTGGAAGGGAAACATTTTGTTAGAATTCTCGGTATTATGGTGTACACTTTCAAGTTTGTTGATGTTGAGTCATGTGGCATCTTAGATTTTCACCTTTTGCCTTTCGTGGTCACATCGGTGCCAAAGTCAGTGCACATTCATGGCACCTGACTATAAAAACCCAATTTTTGGACAACCCAACCTTCCCTCAGTTCACATACAATGGGACTGAGGTGACTTCGTTATCTCTTGTCTATCTCACACAAATCATGTATTAAATACTTGTACACCAGCGATAAACTCGCTAGGTGATTATTCTACAATCTATTCTAGTTCACGTACAACGGGACTGAGCGATAAACTCCATTTCCTCTTATACATTTTACTTTATCAATCTTGTGTTAAATAACGTTCATGTCCAACGGTATAGCATCAAGGCAGCTTGAATGTTTGCCATAATTCGACTGGGGCAGTGCGCATACATAGTTTGAGAGCCAACTGCTGGGGGAGCAATATTATACAGTGGTGCTGTGAAGCATCTCTTTCAGAAATATCCTGAGAGGCTATATGATAACATGACTTATGTCTATAGCCATTCAATACTCTTTTGAATTGTTTCCCTTTTTTTTTTTCAGTTCTCCACGCATACATAGACATTTTATCAACACAGTTTTAATACCAACAACCATGAAAGCACACAAGGAAAAGCGACAGATGAAGAAGCAGAAGAAGCAGAAGCGTGACCAATATTGAGAGGCCAATATCGCACCAGTCCGGTTCATCGTAAATCCCTTGTTGATATCAACCACCTACCTTTATTTTAGACTTGAGTCCCAGAGAGCACACAAGGAGCACCTAAAGGGTATCGATGACTCTCGGATCCGGCATATTGTGGAGGTGGCAGAGAGCAAAGTAGATATCAATATTTGTAATGCCATGACGAACACAAGTATGTTCCTAATACCATTTCTTACCCTCTCTCTCAATGCAACCCAAACTAGTAAAACTCGACTTCGATTATGCTGACATAGCAAGCCACAATGATGGGGCTGTTCCACCTGCAAAGAGCCAGTCACATCCAAAGGACCTCAAGCTCCCTCCTCTCTCCTCGAATCATGCCTGGACCCTACTTGAGAGTGAGGCTGGTGCGGCCATCGAGGATCGGTCAGGGAACCTGCTGGCTATATGGATCCCAAATGTTTTTAGCCCAATTCATGTATGTTTTCATATCCTTGGCTGCAAAACTCACCTGATTATTTCCAAGGAGGAAATTTTGAATGCTGGTCACGAGTTCAATCAAAATTTTAAATTTGACAAGAAGAAATCCCGGAACCACTTTGTTCCATCATTGGATCTATTCCAGAAAGGCCAAGTCCATTATGGTTACTGGCACCAACAGGGTCACTACATGAGTTTTGATTGTTTTCTTGATTATTTAAATTAAATATATTCCCATAGGAAATATCGCCTCAAATCTCCACCAATTCAAAGGAGAAAGAACATAATCACCCCTTCCAAAAGAAATGCGAGCCACTCTACCACATCCTCAACATGTACACTGAGAGGATTGTGCCGTCATTGGCAAAACAGAGTGATCAAGTATGGGAACAGATCAGGAAGCACTGGGATCACGAGGGTTTCCTATCTGAAATCAAGTCCCATTTCTTCGGCCAGATGGTCCATTTCAATGCGGATATTCGGCGCCACAAGGATCGGAGATCTGCCTGGTGTGGCTTTGATGCAATAGCTGTATTTGGAGAATACGAGGGAGGAATTTCAGAGAGTTGGGTTGCTCTTTCCCCTCCCATCCCGGAGATCTTTTCTTTATTCGTGGTGCTGGATTGGATCATGAGGCCCGTAGTGGGGATCAAGAGGCTGGGGGCTGGGTTGGCAAAGGGCAAATGGTTTTTGCATTTTTTTCTGATAGATGGGTATTTGCACACGAGCACATCCCAAGACCTAAGGACCTGGGCGCTATCTATGGGATGCAGGGACAGAAAGAATTCCGTGAACACCACCCCCACCTTGATCGGTGATCTCCTGTGACGTGGACTGCCTGGTATCTAGTCCGTGATACCTTTCTTTCTTTTGTCCCTTGGTAAATATATTATGTTAAATATATTATGTTAAATACATTATTTATCAAATTGGTGTGGGCTATCTCAACGGACATGAGCCAGGATACAAATATGTTATTTCACGAAGACTAGCGTAGCAATGGCCCCAACAGGATGTTGAAGCCTCTTGAGCTGGTAAATACAAAAAGGAGGGTAATGATGAAAACAACAGCAGACAAGCATGCAGGTGGTGAAATTAGCTGCATGTGCGCAATGCGTGACGTGTGTTCTCATACATACAAAGGGAAAGCACAAAACTACTAGAACTGATGACAGCCAAATTGAGAGCCGTAAAAACTAAAACAGCAAACAGAAGCTAAGGTACAGAGATGAAATACAATGAAGAAAAAGGAGTAACAGATGATGTAAAAAAGTTCAAAAAGAAGAGACAGAAAAGGAGGAGGAGTATCGGGGAGGAGGAGGGAAACAAGAAAACAGGCTAGGAGCTGGAGCAAATGGGAATGTAGTTGAGAATCGTGGTATTGGCAGCAGCAGATCCGGGATAGAGTAATGTGTAGGTGGCAGCAGCGGTAGCGGGTCAAAAGCATACCAGGGGAGTGCAAGATACCAGGCCCTTTTATAGGCACGACCTAGGTAGTATTTAAACCTCTCCTCAACAGCGAAATTTCAGTACATACCTCCACTGAATGGTCCGCTTCACGCCTCTGCGCCGGAACATTCAGCATACAACTGAGGCAGCATGCTTTGACCCGTTCAGGCTAAGTTGCACGATAAATCACGAGAAATCCGTGATTGATGAGGGGAAGGCATGTGAATGCCAAAGTGGTCTCGACTGGGTGCAGCCAGGTTTCCCAGCCAGTGGCAAACAGGGGCGGAAACCTGAGGTCAGCTGGGGGCAGACTGCTAACCCGTGATTAGTGTTACTGAAGTTGTAGCAGGAGATGGCCAAGTGGCCCAGTGTATATTAGGCAAAGTGCAGCAAGCCACACATGACCCATTTGTCCATATACAGAGTAGAAAGCATAACAAAATACAGAAAGGAAAAAGGAAAAGCGGAAAAATAGATGGAGACAAAAAAGATGAAGGAAACAGAGACAGAGAGGTACAAAGTACAGTGCAAGTCAAGAGAGAAGAGTTGGTGAACCAGAAAGTTTGTGAACTCCATTAGGAGTGGAAATGGAAAGATGAAACAGTGGAGAGAGGGGAGGTGGTGGGAAATGCAAAAACAAGCAAAAGAAGTTACTGAGCAGGCATGGACGATTCTGGGAGTCAAGAGAGCGGCAGCAGCAGAAACAGCAGCGACAATGCACGAGTAAGAGTTTGGAGACAAAGCAGTAAGCGGCCTTACTCACCGAGAGAGGCACAAGTCCAGGAGATAGAGAGGGGGGAAAGTAAAGGTGCAGGCGCTTTTTATAAGTGTGGCCTGGACTAATTGTGAGCACTCTCGGGGTGAGGGAGGTTCAGTACGTACCTCCGCTGGTGTGGTCTATTCCATGCATCCGTGCCAGAAAACCCAAGCAGAAACCTAGACTCATTGAGTAGTCAGGTTGCGTGGCAACTCGTGAATGGTAGGAGTGGTAAAAGGGAGTGGACAGGAGCAGCAGGATAGGATCGGACAGAGGAAACCTCGGCATGAGCTGGGTTGGGTCTGACCACAGCCCCATGATTAGTCCTGTGAAATGAGAACATTAAACAACAATTAAATGATGGATGGCATTAATGGTGGGCGTGATGACTCAGGAGGCAGAGAGAGATATGAACACCGAGCCACAACTGATGACACACTGGCATCTGTGCGCACAGCAGTGCAACTCAAATCAATGTTGGAGGCCGCATTATCAATGGGGTGTTAGAGTACCGAAAGGATCTCCGAGATCGGGATTGGGTGATGATAAGGATTGGGTCGATGACACCAAAGCAGGGAGGGGTTGGACAGGGTGTCAAGTGTGGAGGGATCTACAGAATCTGTTGGGAGGAGTGTTCTTGAGCCAGCGCATTTGGGTGCGGCATTGGGAATGCAGTCCACTGAGCATGAACTGCGCCCAACAACCACACAACCGCCTGCAGAGATTGGCCATCGCAATAAGCGTGTGTAAGTTACAAGCCCTGCTGCGGTGGGGGAACTTACCAGTTAACACCAAGTGCAAGCGCGATGGAGAAGGGAGCAGAACTCCCACAACCTCAGCCATCCTGGAGGCAAGTTAGGATCCAGGCGGGTAGGTGGTCGCCCATCTTGTCCCATCAACACTGCGGGCTCAGTGTACCCCCTTCCATGAGACATATTTCCCTCGAATAAAGGTAATTATCTTCGATATAGCTCCTGCATTTGTTATTCAGAAACCAAAAAAAAAATGGAAACAAAAAAATTAAAATAAAAAAGGAGGGATGTAAAAAGACACGATGGCGCGTCTGCTGGGGAACACTTTGAGGGATATGCTCTGATCCCTTTGCATCAAAGTATTGGAACCCCCAGGGAGCAGCAGATACACCAAAGTGGGACAAGAGGAAAAATAAAATAAAAACAGGAATGCTGATTGGGAACGCTGTGCAGGAATGAGAGATGGAAGTGCTGAATACATCAAAAGGTTCCTACCTAGAAGTCAATGCTCCCAACTCCCCCACCTTCATGCCAGTTATACTCTGGACAAGTTCAGCTCTCAATGAAATAGGAAGGAAAAGGCTCACACCAGGGATTCGACT